TATATAATTTTAGGAATGTCTTTTTGCATATTACAAAATACTGTGCAGAGGTAGTATATATGTGCAGATACCACAGCATTTCGGTGCATCGGAATTAAAGGCGCTGATTTCTTCAATCGTTTGTGAGTTTTGGAAGTGAAAACTTAAGATTGCAGAATACATAAACAGTAAATATTACCAATATGCATTGTGTTGTATGATTATATTTATGTATCACGCAGAAGACTAGAGTTAACTAAAGGAAGAACCATTTATCAGATGTATAGCACAGCTTGATGTTGTGTGTGATAGCACCAGATTTGTTTGGTCAAGTGGACTGATCAAACTTTCAGAGTACTCATGGCTCTCAGCATGACAGTTCGAACCCGCTGTCATACAAGCATACGCTGCCACAGTATTGAGATTACTGGCCACAAATAAAGACTAGCTGATGCGTAATTAAACAGAGAAAGTTGTGAATTCCAAGAAATGGACAGCAGCATTGTTGATTAGGTGTGGAAAAAAAAAGGTACAGTAACCACATTTCATGTGTTAAAAACTCTTCATGTGTGTCTTACATCCTTGAATGTGGTGTCATTTAAATTTTTTACTGTTGTGATATTTAAATAGTTTAAATGTATTCTGTATTAATTTTTCTTTAATTTAATATACTATATTTCACTTTACATCCAGTAATTTTTCTTTAGGAAGGTTCAAGTTTTGTCTTATTGCATTAACAAAATTCAGCTCAAAATTAATTGTGTCCAAAACCTAGCGGGAAAAAGTCATCTTAAAAGAGTTAAGAGAAAATGGGTCAATTCCCCCCCCCCCCCCCAACTTTCATGCGGGTTCTGAAGCCACACAGTTGGAGGAAATAGAATCGACCCCCTGCCCTCCAAAAATCATACGGTAAAAATCAATTAGTTAGTGGTGTTTCCTTAGAAAATTAGAGTGCATCTGCCTGAGAGATGAAGAACCAGTTGTCTGCATATAAGTAAGCCAGATCTGTAAAACAGATGTGCATGCAAAATTTAAGATGTGGAACAAGACTAAAATCTAGAAGTGAACTAACAATGAACACTTTCTCCAGAGTTAACAGTCGGTAAATGCGAAGAAGGAGGAGCATCCAAACTCAATCATTTATAATGAAATATTTTTGCCGTGCAGACAATAAACAATCAAGCAAACTTTATCAGTTTCTTTTATTTGTGTGAATCTGATCAGTTTTACTACTCCAAGTTTTTTTCAACAGCAATCATATGACATAAGAAGAGGTGTCATTGGGGTAAAACACTGACATTATGGGGAGTACCTGACATTAAACCAAAAATGATAAATATATCTTATAGGAGACAACAGCTTTACAGCAGACACTGGTATATAGTACACATTATAGGTTAAACCAATTTTTTTTTAAATCTAAAGAAACTACCCTCTTTAGGCTGGTGGCTTATGGTCCATACAATGCTATGTAGCCCCAAACTTGTATAAACCAGGTGTCACACAATGCTATGAGTCAATATCATGCCACATATTACAGAACCCATATTAAGATAAGAGTAGAACTTGAGGCAGACCAAAAAGACAGTGGATAGATATTGTGACAATACGCTCGGTGACTCCAGAATGTTATTCCTTAACCTACTTTTATTTCTTTGTATTTTGAAAGTATACAGGAAAATAGGGATTTGGATACATTCTTTATTTTAAGTAGGCGAAATGAACAAGCATTTAATTCTCCTGGGATGTTGGCGATATCACACACTAAAACTTTTTCCCAGACGTTAAGTGTTAAGGTACAGAGATAAGACTGACCAAGCAGACTTACTGACTGGAGATTTGCACACCATCTGTTGGTGTCAGAAATTTTATCTCCTAGCCAGACTTTTAGGAGCAGCTAACTCCGGCTAATTGTGTTTAATTCCCCCTGAGGTTACCTAACTCGACGGCAGGTCCGACGGTCACTATTGACACAGTGAGCGGAAAGTGTTGGCAGAAGAATTGACACCGTCTGATTTTATTGTGAAGGCAGGTGAAGTAGACTGGAGGTGTGACTAGGCCTATTAGCTGGGACCAGCTTAATTGAACCAGGAGATCCTAGCGTGGGAATTCAAACTTGTTGAACAGTCACTGACTGACAGGGAATATACACCCACAGGGGAGGAGCTGTGATTTCCCTGAATGAGAATGATTTTAGGCGTAATGTAGGAGGAGCTTGATAAAAGTTATAAAGGGGTGAACTATAGGTCTGGTAAATGAGATCCTGTCGAGCACATGCCATCTGTTGGGCTTAACCTAAGCTTGAGACAGAACTTTTGGCATCGTGATTTCATTTTTCCAGGTAAGATCGAAATTAGGTTCACATCTATATTTTATGATAGAGATCTGTCTTTTTGCTCAAGTGTGTGTCTTCATCACTTTGTAGTACTCCTAGGCGGACATTTCTTCATTCTCGTAGGGCACTGTCACATTGCTTTATTTCCTATGTGATAGTGTCATGAATGTTTTTCGGGCACATGTGTTTCAATGTTGTAAAACCTAAATGTTGTTGTTGCCATTGAAATTTAATGAACTATCATGTTTTTGAAATCACAAGCGTGAAGATAACTTTGGCAATCTTTTCACGTGTGGTTAATGTGAATCTGTATTACATACAGCTAACACACTGAAATGTGTTTAACTCTCGGGAGGCTAATGCGGAGATTGATCCCGGAGAGTAAATCCACGAGATTTGTTATTTGATTCGCCCCAGAACTATTGTTAGCATTCTGGGCGCGTCGATTGTTCCAAGCATAGGTTTCAGAACTGGTTCTGTCTGACTGATTGTCATTTTGAGTCTGTACGAGAGATGGCACCTGACGTAGAAGACTTGACTATCATTACAGGACGTGTAGAGGAAGGCAGAAGATGTAACAGTTGGAATGTGAGACATAAGCCCTTCCAAATTGGACAGGAGTGAATGTGAGCATGAGGGAGAGATGAAATGTTTTATTTAAATAAACATGCTTGATGTTAGTATAATATACATACTCTAGAGCAGATACTACAAATATGCGCTTGTTTCTTCATTCTCCAGTTCCCAAATTGGGCAGGGACTAGTAGGCATCCATTATTTGCCGACCGTCGAGTGTAACGACCTGCAGAAAGCAGTGAGGACGACAAACTGGAAAAGATAGGCAGGGTCTCAAGCCGAGAACTGTCCTGATGAGCTAAGTTATGTACAACTTTAATGTCATCTATAACATCATCCAAACTCTACTAGCCTAAACAAGTTCATTTTATTTTAGTCAGATTTATTAAATAAATCTTTTTGATATTTAAACATAGTTGAGTAGATTGTGTACTTAGGTTCAAGTGTCTTTGTGCATATTAGTTTACTTCAGCTAACAAATATTTAAATCACTTGATGGGGGCTTTTAAATAATGCCAGGAGAGGAGAGCAGTCGGAGGGGTTAAATGAGCACCTGGATTATATCACAGTGGGTGTATCCAGAAATCTATCTATCCCTTCTCCTACTCCTGTGGATACAAGTACAGCAACTTGCATTTCATGGAACGAGCCACTCGCTGTTTTCTTGGCTATCCAGGACTGTCTAGGATCAACATAGCTTAGATAATAGTCCAGTTTCTCACGTGGGTGGGCATTGTTAAGGTTCAAACCCACACCCTCACTATATCAGTGTATTTACCCACGTGGGCGCGCGACAGATATACAGATAATTTGATGGGCTGATATATTCTTACAGCGCTCAAAAATGTTAGTATTAATACTACTCAGAACATTAATCAGATGGAGAAAAAAAAAGATCATAGTTCTATACCAAACAAGACTTTTTAAAATACAAAATACATGCAAACACACCATTAAATTTTCCCCAACACTAAAATCACATTATTTACCAAACAAACTTTACAAATTATTTGACAACATACATAAGGCCGCCTCAGTTTGATATGTATTAAGTGTTGAGTTGAGTCAAGGATTGACATCACAGCACTCGGGGCATTCCCATGCCTGCTCTGTCCCCATCTTCAGCAGCCAGCGCAGAGTTCCAATACTGATGGTACCGGTCACAATCTAGTTATATGTCTGTCTTGCCTTTCCTCTGAGTGTAGTGAGCCAGCCAGACCCCCTGGTTACATCCATGTACAAGTATGTACTATTTACACAACTAGCCAGTTGAGAAAACTGTAGCCTAAATAGCCTAACCCAGACAAACAGAAGCACTTCAGGCCTAACAACCATATTTTGTTTCCAGCTGCTTCTCTTGTAGTCAAAAACACAAAGCAAAATTAGTTAGGTAAAGGAGCTTTTTTAAATCCTGTATATGATGCTAAACGATGAAGTTAATATAACGCTGACCACCTTCGCTTCCCAGGGCATTAGCTGGTACCTATTTTAGACTGAGCCAACATGGGATCCAGGACGAATTTTGAAACAAATGCGACTTGCTGTGGATTCAAACCCAAAATCTTCCGGCCAGCATGTGACTGCCTAGACATTATGCTACCATGACTCCCCTAAATCTGACCTAGAGAGAGAATTTCTTTTCTCTAGCCAGCATGACTTAGCGACATCCTGGCCTCATAGAAATTCAGCAGCAGGTACTTTTTTGAGCATTGTCTGTGAATCTTCTTAATCTTTGCGTTCACCATCTGTAAACTCATGTGGAAAGTTCTGGCTCTTTGCCCACTTCTGTACTATAGTCTTGTTCCAAAAGTTCGGTTTTGTGTGCACATCCGTTTTACAGAGCTGGCTTAACTATAAGCAGACTGATGGTCCCTTGCCTTTCAAGCAGATGCACTATGACTGTACAGGATTGTTTGTACATGGGTTAACCAAGAAATAACACAAAACTTTATCAAGAATTCCTTTTCATTCTGAGAAAAGTAATAAGATTAACATATTTCACCTTTTATTTGCATGCCCACAAAAAACAAAACTGGTGTGAACAGACTGGTAAACAGTATCTAAAATATAGTTCTGTTAAATATTTCAGCAACATTAAAGGTTTCGGCAGTTACACTGTCTGAATTTCCTCCAACTCCAGATCAAACCCTTCAAGCTCTTCCTTAGATGTGTACAAACTGGCATGTAGCATTATTACAAAGAAGGAGGCTCCTGAGAACAGAAAATGTTTAAAAAAAAAAAAAAATTATGAGCTTGAATATCTACCCGGCCATATTTCAGTCTTCCCATAAAAATAAAATTACAAAAATCCTTTTCCCACCACTGGCCATTTGATAGATCAATTTGGCTATCTGAAGGGTCATGCCTGCCGACTTTACTTCCCTTGATTTTACCAGGTATTCATTTTAGCAATTGGGTGCAATGGTCAATTGTGTTAGTGTGGTTATATCTGCCTGATGTGAGTTTAACCACAAGATTTTTGTAGTGTATATTTCAATCATGCCACACTCTGACCACAGTAGCATATGCTGACTGAGTTATGGATATTATAAAAACATAGGTCAATCCCATTAGGGAGATGAAACCAACATAGGGACATAAAATGATAAACATAACGGTTGAAAATTGGAGGATTTTAAACTTCCCCTACAAGATGCTCCTGCACAAGGTATCTAAAGGACAAGCAGAGTTTGAAGAATGAAACATTACACTCAATGTCCTTGAACTTCATCAATCTTACCTATAACCCAGAAGACAAGAGACCCGGCTCCAGCCAACCAGAAAATGGGGAATGACATGACTCCGACAGCTGCATACTGCTGTGCCAAGGTAATTTCACGACCTGTTGGAGAAGCATGTCTGGAAGTCATTTACAATATCACTGGATCTGTGATTACATAATGGTTAGAGCACTTGATGACGGCATCACAGGAATGCACTGTTTCAGATCCATCCTCAGTTTTAGAGGATTTATTGTTTCTTTTCTGATCTTCTTTACTTCCCTTTACCACAATGGGTGCTGAGGGCAGCAATGGCAGCGATTCACTTTTTTCCTTGACCAATGGGTCAAGGTTCAAATTTTTCCTGACCAATGGGTCAAGGTTCAAATTTTTACTGGCCAATGGGTCAAGGTTCAAAATTTTACTGGCCAATGGGGCAAGGTTCAAATTTTTCCTGGCCAATGACAAGAATCTTTCTTTTCCTCCTAGCCAACAGAAGATTCTTCTCTTCTTCTAACAAAGTGGTGCTGTTAAAGTTAGATAAATTATTATTACAAACAAGAAAAAGTAATTTTTGTTGTTGACAAACCATTGACAAAACCACTGTAAACTATTTAACTAATAAAATATATCACCAATGATTACTTAAAATATTACTAATATTTGTTTAAAAAGAAAAAAAAAAGTATAATTAATAAACAATGAAAGATACTGGCCTATGTAATCTCAACAAAACAAGTGAATGCAGCAACATTCCGGAAACCTACCCATCACTGTCACTTTGTGGTCTTGATTTTTCAAACTGATGATGTAGCAGGCACCCAAGCAGGCAGCTATTGCCACCAGCAGCAGGGGAGATGTCAAACTGAAAGAGACATCAACATGTGTGTCAAGGTCACAGATTCAACAATATCCACTAGCCTAATTTGTATTGGGAGCTGTGATATAGAGTAGTGGGTAGTTGCCTGCCCAAGATTTGTGGATTTCTTCGTATTCATCTTCTTCTCTGCGTTTGGTTTCTTATTCTTAGGTGAGTTAGTCAGGTGGGCTGCCTCTGTGAATACGCATGTTAGTTGCAGGTCTCTGGTGGTTCCCCATAGCTTGCTCTGCACACTTTTTTCCCCAGGCCAGGTTTCTCTTTATAGTTGTAAGTATAGTGGGCAGCCAGGTTTCTCTTTATAGTTGTAAGTATAGTGGGCAGCCAGGTTTCTCTTTATAGTTGTAAGTATAGTGGGCAGGCCTGCAGAATGTGCTTAGTTGATTATTTGTGGGTTTGGAACTGCATCAAGTCGGATACCAAATAAAATTTACCTTGGTTGCCATATTGGCCCAGCTTACTTCTGCGAAGTAAAGATGGCTGGTGTGCTGCTGACCATGTTACTCGCCGAGTGCATATTGGTCGATAAAAATATGGTTTCGCCTGAAGTTTAAGTGGCGTTAAAATGTCATTTGTTTTACATTATTAAGCTCTATCACTTATTCTTTATAGATTGGCCAGATGTGGCAGTGACATGTACAGCCAAATTGCGACTTAACCCACCAAGAGACTAAGACATTATTAGAATTTAATATCCAAGAAAGGTGGCTGAACACACACACAAATTCTTTCCTCAAGACTCACTTCATCACCTTTCTAGAGAGGGACAATGTATTACACTCAGACTAAAGACAGGGCACAACAGACTTCATCAACATATGTTCACACTTTTTGGTGTAGGAAACACGGAGATGTGGCCCTGCAGCATGGCACCTAAAAATGCTGTGCTCTAACAGTCAACTATATGCTGACAAGAGAGACGCAATTTGGCCTGTTTCAACCAAATTAAGACAAAGCTAAATGGTACACGAAAAGATTTGGATATAGCTCTCATAAAGGCTACTGACCTACTGATATGTTTTCTGACAGAAGGATCGAAGAAGAAGAAGATTAAATGGAATACATTCCCCCAGGCCTAATGTATCAGATAACTCATGAGTGACCTTTGACCTCTATCACAGAGGCTTATGGGGAAATCTGACAACCTGGCTTTAAAAAAACTCTTTTGGCTTGAAGGAAGACCTCCTTCCCCAACTATTTTTAGTTAATTTTCATATCCTGACCTCATAAACGTTTGCACAGGCATGAATCATGCAGCCAGTAGCATTAACTATATGCCTCCTAAACAGGTCACTATAGAAAAGACAGAAAAGTGACATTTATAGGAATTGGCCCAACCAGAAGTGTTGTAGTTTCTAGCTGCAATTGGGTTAAGCTAAACATTCAATCCTCCATCAAAAAAAAAAACAGGAAGTTACCAGGTTTCTCATGAATGTAGCACTATGAAAATACCAGTGGCATGGCTAAAGATGAGGTATCAAAGTAGGACTACTATGGCTAAACGGAACTTGTAATTTAACTCCTTTCTCATGCAAACAGAGAGTAGAAAAGGAGAAAAAGGGCAGAGAAGAAGTCAATAACAAAAAAAGGTAGGAAAAAGAAAATAATTTAATTTAAATGGAGGAGGACAAGTAGAAGAAATGATACTTACACACAGAAGATAACCAGGCCCAGAAAGACAAACAAATAGTTGCCTTGGAAGTTGTCAATGTTCTTCACAATCCTCTTTGGAAGAGGGGCCATAGTCTTTGGCAGAGCAAATTTGCTTGTGCTGAGAAACTCGTGCCACGGCTTGACACTCTCCCGTGTCTTGGAGAACCATTCCCGAGCTGATGTGCTTGACAGTGACATAGACATGATTCTGGGGGATACAAATTTAATACAATGTCAGTGAAGTCAGGAGAAATAAATAATATAATTTACTTTAACAGATTGTTAGAAATTAGAACAATGCCATTGTCTTGTAGCCTGTCAGTATTGTCTATAAGGATGTCAGAATTTTAAGCATGTGACATCTCATCAGCAGGTGAGGTAATGATGATAGTTTAAAAGATGGCCACCCCACTTTTTACATGCACCAGAGATGAGCAGTGTTCTGTTATATTTTTTTCTCATCAAATAACAGAAGAAATTCATCAGCCTATGAAGATCCAATAAAGTAATGCATGCCTGTCAGTCAGTCCAGCAAGTGTGTGAGTGGAGTAGGAAGTTCCTAAATAATGTGATGGTGCTTTATTAATATCCTACCCCAGATGACGTCACAGGACAGTCAAACATTTTAGATGCTTTTAACATCCCCAAAACATCTAGAACTGGCCCTAACCCCAACCCAGCTACGTCCCACAAGAGAGTGCAGACTAGATCCCACGACTGCATGCAGCCTATCTACCACCCCCTGAAATATAAGACTGTCCCGTGACCTGTGGATTTCCCCCGTTTGGGAAAAGATATTAATAAAGCACCAGTGTGACTTCTGTGACAGACTGTTCAACACTGGGCCTGGAATACACAGTAGCGACCTCAGAGTTGCTCGCAGTTGTGGAAGACCCTGTACAGGAAACCCACCGACTGACTATTAGTGACACTGGTGCACATCTTGACATCAGTCATGGTTCAGCACACCACATAACCCATAATGTGCTATAGAACTGTTGCTCCACTTTGGTGCATGCTATGCACACACCCACACATGCATACACACATACAAACACCAACGTTTACATGCACACAATCATACCTACACATGCACACACTCATACCTACAAATCTGAAAAATGTTACTGTCATCTTGCAAGCCTCCAGAGGATTCAAAACACTGTTCTACAAGGCATGTATTAAAAGAGGCAGACCTAGAACAATGTGTATAGATCAGATTAGAGAAAGATCAACACTATCAATTGTCTGTTGTGAAAGTTGTCAGAGTGACCTTTTCAGTTTAACCTTATGGTTGAACAGGGTTTATGGGATTTGTACCCGGTAGGTTCTCGGAAAAATTAGTGACACTTTGCATTACTGGATGTTAATCGCAGAATGTGCGGTCCTAGTGAGGTTCAACTTTACAACAGCTAGAACGAGAACCTTACATCTCCTTAACAGATGAAGCAGTGGCAGAGGTAGAGGAGGAGAAGAAGAACAACAATAAGGATGAGGTAGTTAGTGTTCACCATGCAAGCATCCAGAAGATTCACAAACAAAACAACATACTGTGACTGTAATGTAATGTTTGCTTGGAAAGCTTCCAAAAGATTCAAAACAACATCAATAACAATAACATATTATGACTAATATTACGGTTTGTTTTGCAAGTTTGCACCACAACAAAACAAGGAAACTGTTTGCTAAAACGCCCTACCTTGTAAATGAGTGAGTTACAGAAAAGGTATAAAGTTACACAGGACTTGCTGTTAAAATCTACACATAGCCCAGCTGTACACAAAAACAGGAGCCAGCCAATGTAAGACAACACAAATGGCTGTTCAATAGTTAAACTACTGCATCAATAACTGCACGTTGCAAAGTGAGCCAAATATAGATTTCCTACCAGGTGTTTATACCACTGCCTGGGGAACTACCACAATGGCTTTTCAATATTTATCTGTAATGGATTTTTACATCTCCTTGTTCAGTTTATTTTCTAGCTTGTATTGTGCTTTATCAAGAGGCCAGAGAGGCTTTAATAGAATTAAAAATATGTGGAAGTCACTAGATATGAATTCTCTGAGTCCCAGGTAGTTGTTATTTTAAACTTTTCCATTTCCAGAAAGTTGAGCTCAAAAGAAATAACTACTTAGGTTTGAACAAGTTCAGCAGATAAAGAAACTAGAAGCCAAGAGTAGTTAACTAATTATTCAGATCATTAGCAATCATAATCAAACAGCAGTTCCTTTACAGAACATTGGTGTCATCACAGCAAGCCTGAATGTCTCCCTTTCTCTAGTCAATTCTCCAGTCCTCTGTGCTGTCGTCACAGCAAGCCTGAAAGTCTCCCTTTCTCTAGTCAATTCTCCAGTCCTCTGTGCTGTGGTCACAGCAAGCCTGAATGTCTCCCTTTCTCTAGTCCTCTGTGCTGTCATCACAGCAAGCCTGAATGTCTCCCTTTCTCTAGTCCTCTGTGCTGTCATCACAGCAAGCCTGAATGTCTCCCTTTCTCTAGTCCTCTGTGCTGTCATCACAGCAAGCCTGAAAGTCTCCCTTTATCTAGTCTTCTGTGCTGTCATCACAGCAAGCCTGAAAGTCTCCCTTTCTCTAGTCCTCTGTGCTGTCATCACAGCAAGCCTGAAAGTCTCCCTTTCTCTAGTCCTCTGTGCTGTCATCACAGGAAGCCTGAAAGTCTCCCTTTCTCTAGTCTTCTGTGCTGTCATCACAGCAAGCCTGAATGTCTCCCCTTCTCTAGTCCTCTGTGCTGTCATCACAGCAAGCCTGAAAGTCTCCCTTTCTCTAGTCCTCTGTGCTGTCATCACAGCAAGCCTGAATGTCTCCCTTTCTCTAGTGCTCTGTGCTGTCATCACAGCAAGCCTGAAAGTCTCCCTTTCTCTAGTCAATTCTCCAGTCCTCTGTGCTGTCATCACTGCAAGCCTGAAAGTCTCCCTTTCTCTAGTCAATTCTCCAGTCCTCTGTGCTGTCATCACTGCAAGCCTGAAAGTCTCCCTTTCTCTAGTCCTCTGTGCTGTCATCACTGCAAGCCTGAAAGTCTCCCTTTCTCTAGTCAATTCTCCAGTCCTCTGTGCTGTCATCACTGCAAGCCTGAAAGTATCCCTTTCTCTAGTCAATTCTCCAGTCCTCTGTGCTGTCATCACAGCAAGCCTGAATGTCTCCATTTCTCCAGTCCTCTGTGCTGTCATCACAGCAAGCCTGAAAGTCTCCCTTTCTCTAGTCAATTCTCCAGTCCTCTGTGCTGTCATCACTGCAAGCCTGAAAGTCTCCCTTCCTCTAGTCAATTCTCCAGTCCTCTGTGCTGTCATAACTGCAAGCCTGAAAGTCTCCCTTTCTCTAGTCCTCTGTGCTGTCATCACTGCAAGCCTGAAAGTCTCCCTTTCTCTAGTCAATTCTCCAGTCCTCTGTGCTGTCATCACTGCAAGCCTGAAAGTCTCCCTTTCTCTAGTCAATTCTCCAGTCCTCTGTGCTGTCATCACTGCAAGCCTGAAAGTCTCCCTTTCTCTAGTCCTCTGTGCTGTCATCACAGCAAGCCTGAAAGTCTCCCTTTCTCTAGTCAATTCTCCAGTCCTCTGTGCTGTCATCACTGCAAGCCTGAAAGTCTCCCTTTCTCTAGTCAATTCTCCAGTCCTCTGTGCTGTCATCACTGCAAGCCTGAAAGTCTCCCTTTCTCTAGTCCTCTGTGCTGTCATCACTGCAAGCCTGAATGTCTCTCTTTCTCTAGTCCTCTAAGCTGTCATCACAGCAAGCCTGAAAGTCTCCCTTTTTATAGTCTTCCAGAGTCCTCTGTGCTGTCATCACAGCAAGCCTGAAAGTCTCCCTTTCTCTAGTCAATTCTCCAGTCCTCTGTGCTGTCATCACAGCAAAGCCTGAAAGTCTCCCTTTCTCTAGTCAATTCTCCAGTTCTCTGTGCTGTCATCACAGCAAGCCTGAAAGTCTCCCTTTCTCTAGTCTTCCAAAGTCCTCTGTGCTGTCATCACAGCAAGCCTGAAAGTCTCCCTTTCTCTAGTCAATTCTCCAGTCCTCTGTGCTGTCATCACTGCAAGCCTGAAAGTCTCCCTTTCTCTAGTCCTCTGTGCTGTCATCACTGCAAGCCTGAAAGTATCCCTTTCTCTAGTCAATTCTCCAGTCCTCTGTGCTGTCATCACTGCAAGCCTGAAAGTCTCCCTTTCTCTAGTCAATTCTCCAGTCCTCTGTGCTGTCATCACTGCAAGCCTGAAAGTATCCCTTTCTCTAGTCAATTCTCCAGTCCTCTGTGCTGTCATCACAGCAAGCCTGAATGTCTCCATTTCTCCAGTCCTCTGTGCTGTCATCACAGCAAGCCTGAAAGTCTCCCTTTCTCTAGTCAATTCTCCAGTCCTCTGTGCTGTCATCACTGCAAGCCTGAAAGTCTCCCTTCCTCTAGTCAATTCTCCAGTCCTCTGTGCTGTCATCACTGCAAGCCTGAAAGTCTCCCTTTCTCTAGTCCTCTGTGCTGTCATCACTGCAAGCCTGAAAGTCTCCCTTTCTCTAGTCAATTCTCCAGTCCTCTGTGCTGTCATCACTGCAAGCCTGAAAGTCTCCCTTTCTCTAGTCAATTCTCCAGTCCTCTGTGCTGTCATCACTGCAAGCCTGAAAGTCTCCCTTTCTCTAGTCCTCTGTGCTGTCATCACAGCAAGCCTGAAAGTCTCCCTTTCTCTAGTCAATTCTCCAGTCCTCTGTGCTGTCATCACTGCAAGCCTGAAAGTCTCCCTTTCTCTAGTCAATTCTCCAGTCCTCTGTGCTGTCATCACTGCAAGCCTGAAAGTCTCCCTTTCTCTAGTCCTCTGTGCTGTCATCACTGCAAGCCTGAATGTCTCCCTTTCTCTAGTCCTCTAAGCTGTCATCACAGCAAGCCTGAAAGTCTCCCTTTTTATAGTCTTCCAGAGTCCTCTGTGCTGTCATCACAGCAAGCCTGAAAGTCTCCCTTTCTCTAGTCAATTCTCCAGTCCTCTGTGCTGTCATCACAGCAAAGCCTGAAAGTCTCCCTTTCTCTAGTCAATTCTCCAGTTCTCTGTGCTGTCATCACAGCAAGCCTGAAAGTCTCCCTTTCTCTAGTCTTCCAAAGTCCTCTGTGCTGTCATCACAGCAAGCCTGAAAGTCTCCCTTTCTCTAGTCAATTCTCCAGTCCTCTGTGCAGGAGCTTGATCGTGTTCTAGAAAGGGCATTCTACATGCATGTCAATATTTTAGAACTGGCTTATTTATATGTAAACTGCTGGCTCTCAGGCAGATGCACTAGCATTTTGAAGGAAAAACCCTTATTTTGAAAGGGGGGAGAGGAGGGACAGTAATGATGCTAGATGGTATAAAAGCCTTACAGCATATCTGTGGGCTGTGTGGGGGTGGGTACCACGCAGTTTTTTGTGTAGCCCCCCCCCCCCCCCCCCCATGGGACCCCCAAGGAATCCATACAGGGGATATATTTGAATTCAATTCAGTGTATAGATTCTGCTTAATTTTTCATTGCTTCTATGAGACCCTGGCCTATAATTAAAAATCTTTACACAAGGACCGTTTGACAGAATACCATGTTCCGCAGTTTATGTTCTGCTTTTACTTATAATTTACCTAAACAATGATGAAAGACATCCTCTGCTTGGCAATCTGAAAGATTTTAGAGGAGACCTGTTGGGAAGAGGAAGGGGTACTTTCATAATATCCAACTACAAACAGGGAAAATCCACAGGTCACGGGACAGTCTAAAATTTCAGGGGGTGGCAGATTAATCATTTAGTGTAGTAATGTCATTTCATTTGCAGTGCAGTTTTGTGCTGAGCAGTTTTCACTTTTCTGTACTTCTATTTTGTGCGCTGTGAATTTTGTTTGTATGTGTGTTGTGCAATTGAGAGGATGCAGTTTTTGTGGGTTGGTTTGTGTGTTTTGTTTGGTTTTTTTTTGGGGGGGGGGGGGGGGGGGGGGTGTAGAGGTGTATGCTGTTTTTAACCAACAATAATACACCCCGGCCTGCCACAGGGATCGCTATTATCTCCTGTGTTGTTCAACGTTTACACAGTGAGAATCACAGGCGAGCAAATCACAGGACCCAGAAGAACACTGTCATATGCTGACGATGTGTTAGTGTATCGTCAGGGTAAGGGTAGAGAGAAGGTCGCTGAAGAACTACAAAAAGAGCTCAATCGCATAAGCACTTGGTGTGGTGAAGCTGGTGCACTGGTCAACCCAAAAAAAGCGGCAGTGACTTGGTTCTCTTTGAAAAACCATATTGTGAAAACTTCAATTTCAGTTGTTAATCTGTGTTCTGAGGATGAGGAAAGAACGAATGCAATGAAATAACTGGGGATACATTTTGATCGAAGCCTTGTTTATACTGAGAACATAGATCAGATTATAATGGAAGCCAAGCGGGGTCTCGCTGCGATGAGAGTGATGGTAGCGGCAAACTGTTAGGTGCGTAATTTAGGTCTGGTCCTTTCTGTTGTTGAATACGCGATGGCGATCCAGACTCTCAGCCATGAGCAGATGGAATGTATGGAAAGGATACAGAACGAGACTATGCAGAATAAACTTGTGTGTGCAAGAGATACAGCATGCAGGGCTATGGGCTACCTTTTTGATTTTCCAGCCATGGAAGACATACAAATTTCCCGAGGTCGTGCCTACCTCACAGTCAAGGCGGACACACAACATCCATTACATAGTCAAATCAAGAAGATAAAAGAAAGCAGGTTAAAAAGAGGCAAATCATGGATGGGTCAAGCCGAGGACATTATTTTACATGTATGTTCACTTGAGGACATAGAACCCGGCGAAGAGTGGGTGCAAGTGCGTTCAGAGTGCTACATCTTTTTCTGTTTGCATCCAACTAGGCAGAAAATGCATACAACAGAGTCTGGCTGCTGTGGAAGCAGAAGTTCAAGCCTTGATTTTCAAGAACGCTCTAGAGAGTGATGCTGTCATTTACACAGATGGTTCTGTAATCCGCCATGTTAGAAGCTCGTAGGCTTTCACGGCTAAGTCTGGAGGGAGAGTTGTGAAGGAAGATTCTGGAGCTTTTGCCGTAACTACAAGTAGTCTGACTATGGAGGTCATGGCTGTGACTAAAGCAGTAACATGTCTCGATGAGTATGCTCAGGAAGATAGAGAAGGGCTGGGTCCGAAGGCAGTGGTTGGTGGTTCTACAGAATTCACGAATGACAAGGATTAGTTTCATTTTCGTGTCTGGACATGGGGGGTACAAGGAAATGAGCACGCTGATAGGCTTGCAGGTGAGGCTACTGTGAAAGCAGGACAAGCCATGGACCAGGCTGAAATACTGAATGCGCTAAGAGAGTTAAGACGTCTGCGTGAACCAGCTGAGAACTGTGAATCAGCAACCATGGTCAGACTGCAAGAACAACATGTTAAACGGGGTGTCACCAAACAAAAACACTACTCAGGTAGCCAAATAAGAATAATAAACTAACACAGAACTGGTGTTGTTAGCCACTACGCTACACGCTGCGGGATTTACTGAGGGGATCCGAGCACTTATGGACTGAGTGGTTCGACGTGAAATGAGGATAATCTGTCAACAAACTAACTAACTATCTGAATGCTGAATATGCAGCTCCACAAAATTAATTTAGAAAACAGTTCGAACAAAGACGATTATTTTCAGCAGTAGTACTAGTACTAGTAGTTAGTAGTAGTCAGGGCTGTACACACAGCTGATTACTCACTCAATCTGGGAGATGTTTAATGTTACATGTTACTTCCGGCCGGTGACAATTGAATGTTTTGTTTATGTTCCCGTAAACTACTAAAAACACCATGTGCTTTTTTGTTCAGTCTATTTATAGAAGGTACACAATTGCCAATACCTGTCTTTGAAAGTCTGCTTTTCGGGCGCTGAGTAATCTAGATGGCCTTCCAACAAAATTTCTTTATCCGCCATATTTGTTTGGACGTGGAGACGGCGATGCCAGGTTTTTTATTCATCTAAGCCAACTTTCTGACTGACTGACTTTCTACCCCACCAGGACATCACACAAGCGATAAACACCCGATGACACAATGTGCCACCATGTGGGTGAGGTTCACCGTGGAGAGGTCCCAGAAACCGCGTTCAGACAATTGGCCATATTTATGGCCTGCCTATATTGCGGCCCCTAGCAAAAGCTAGGGCGGGGCTTCAAATAACAACAAATTTCATCCTAAAAAAGATGTGTGGATACATTTAGTCGCCAACCATTGGGTCAAGGTATTTTTTTTTTTTTTTGCCCGGCTATGTAACTAAGTTTACTTAGGGGCCAACATTTTTTTAAAATGTGAGTCAAGGTCTAGTTGATAGGAGAGTTGTTTCTTTTCTTCTGTACAGCGAACCCAGAGTTGCGGGACTATGTAGACCTTACGAGCTGTAGTGTTTAGGGAGAGGTCGCTACAAGTTATGAGAGAGAGAGAGAGAGAGAGAGAGAGAGAGAGAGAGAGAGAGAGAGAGAGAGAGAGCGATGATTATGTTCGGAAGCCAATTAGGATCAATGTATACGTCTCTGAGCGTGAAGTCTTGTCAGTGTGGGGGCTTGTAAATACCCTCTTGTGTTGTATAAATAAACATGATGTATGGCGAAAATAATGGTGTCACGTACCGGGTGCAACCTGATTTAAAGTTTACACCCGTTTCCCCTTCAGTGTTGAATATCTTCCAAAACATTTACACACCCCTCGTTGAATGTCTGTCAGTGTATGCATTTACTAACTGCTCTTTTGTTCTGTCCATTTCGTCCCTTAGAGCCGTTATGATATAGTAGCTCACCGCCCAGAAGAGCGACATCAGATAATCTAACAGCCTGTTAGTTACCTCGCACACAGTAATATCTTGGTCAGAAATTCCACGAAATGCTCTTGATTTTGGTCTTATCAAGTGATGGCAAGCCACTGCTCGCAGGATACGAGTTTCAGTTTTCCGAAGCATGTTTTCCAGATACTGACAATAATGTTGAAGAAGAAGAAGTAGAGGAGAAGATGAATGGTGATGAAGAAGAAAAGAAAAAGAAGTAGTAGGGTTAAGTACAGATAACATCTGACAATTCTCATTTTGCAATGCCAGGTCTCCACAAGAAGATACTAAAGCAACATGGCTAGATATGTGACCTATACAGCAAAATGTATTTTCTCGTATAATAAGAGTTTTCCCCATCTGCGTTGAGCTCAGTTAGGAACCAAATCCACCACATTTTCCCCCACTGCCTGCCTCAGTAAGCATGTCGTAGGAGACTTTTGTGGATTTCCATCAAAGTCGGAGTGCATCTGCCTGAATGTTTAATTATGAATAGACATCACGGCACTCAGGACACTCCCTTATGCGCACGTCCCTATCTTCAGCAGCAAAAGAAGAGTTTCAATTCCGATGGCACCAGTAACTGTCTGATTGTACATACATCTCGCCCTTCCCTTGGGTGTTAAACTTTGACAAGATCCCCTGGTAACTCCTCGCAGCGCCATTATCCTCAGACCATAATTATCTATTTGCGCTTCCGCACTGTTCACTCGCTCCCAGAGGGCCCTTATCAGGACTAGCTTGTCATACATCATTTCATAACCAAGTGGTGCAGATCTAGCTAGTATATCTGCCTGCTCATTTCCCAACACACCGGCATAACCTGGCGATAAAGGATGCTAACTACCCGGGACCTCTGAAGTGATGCTTGCCACTCTGCACGGAGCATGTCTGTTTTCACCTTTCTCGACATGCTTTGTGTGTCAGTGACAATCACGGCATGTGTGTACAGTTGATTCTCAAGCCAAAGGAGGGCAGCTGTGACTGCCTCCACCTCCATTCTCAAACTAGACGTTGTGATAAATGCCAGGCTTTGTTGCACTAAGCGACGTCCAGTCACCTTTGCTATAAACCCCTTTAAACTTCGTCTGCCCCTCAACACAAAACCATCTGTATAGATAATCAGATCATTTATGCGGGAATCGTCATGAACCATTTGTTGAACTTCTGATTCTGCAGCGTCAGCTGGCCAGTCCCTGCACTCACGACCCAAAGTGATTAGAACCCTACACAAGTCTGAAACTTGCTCGGACACTTTGACCCACTCCTTACCTCGCACACATTTATCAAGCCTACACACGTCTGATTGGGTCTTCAGCGTGCGCCATCCAAGATCTTTCTCTTTTCAGTCTGTGATCCTTAGATATACCCAGAGCTTCATGCAAGAGGTGCTTCTTGTCTACAGCTACTCTGAGATATGACTTTGCTTGCAGAAATTTGAGCCTGTCTGCATTAGAAGGCAGTGCAAGTATATATCGCATACATACTACCGGGGTGTCTCTTGTACATATCAGAATTACTCGCATGGCTTCATTTTGTAAGCGTTTAAGTTTCATCAGCTGACGTTTGATTTGGTAAGCATTCCAAGTCCATAATCTATCACCGACAGGATCAAATGTGAAAACATTTAATGTCGAATTAAGAATCGACATCACAGCACTCGGAACACTCCCATAAGTGCTCTGCTCAGTCTTCATCTTCAGCAGTAACCGCCTGATTGCATATCCGTTTCATCCTTCCCCTGAGTGTTGAGCGTGGGCCAGATGCCCTGGTAACTCCAATGCTGGAACATTGTGAACAGCATTTTTTGTTTCATGTCCATTGCTGCCATAATCTTGAGAGCATTGAGTTTTATTTGGCATTTCATCACAACTGCCTACACGTGATCCCTATAGGACAGGCTTCTATCGAAAGTGATACCAAGGTACCTCAGTTTGCTTTCTCTTTTGATGTTTTTGTTATTACCTTTGAGGCTTGGAATATTAACTCTTACAATTCTATTGTACAGATAGCACCACAAAACCGCTGCATTTTCTGAGTTCATGACAGCACCCATTTCTGCACACCAGTCAGTCACTTTTTCTACTGTTGCCTGTAAAGCTCTTGTGCTATCCGTTTCCGATTACTCCCCTGCCCATATGCAAGAACATCATCAGCAAATGTCAATATTCTTTCAACACCGGGTGCTCAAGTTCTGCAATCTTGCTTGTACACACATTGACAAGCACTGGTGAAATCTGTCAGAGAGGCAAGGAACAACCAGCTGCATACAAATAAACCAGTTAAACGAATGTACATGCAAAACGCAGGCATTTGCACAAAGCCAAAGTCCAAATGTATGAACAACCATGACTTTCAGCTCGAGCTTACAGCCGGTGAACAAAGAAGAAAGAAAATCACATTTAGGACATTCCTATAAGAGTTTGGTTCTCATCTTCAACAGCCAGAGCAGAGTTTCAGTTTCAATGGCACCAGTTGCAGTCTGATTTATATTTACCTGGCTTTTCTCCTGATTCCCTGGCCACTTCCTGCTGCCCTATTCTCTTCCCTATGTTTCTCATCCTATCTAACGCCGTGACCCTTTAATACAGTCCCTCATGTTGTGGTGACCCCCAACCATAAAATTATTTTTGTTGCTACTTCATAACTTCAGTGAATATGTGCCTTCTGATGGTCTTAAGCGACCCCTGTGAAAGGGTCGTTCAACCCTCAAAGGGGTCTACAGGTTAAGAACTGCTTCTTTAGACCACGATTATCTATTCACGCCCCTGCACTATTCACTCTGTCTCCCCTACACTATTCACTCAGTCTCCCCTGCACTATTCACTCAGTCTCCCCTGCACTATTCACTCAGTCTCCCCTGCACTGTTCACTCAGTCTCCCCTGCACTGTTCACAGAGTCTCCCCTGCACTATTCACTGAGTCTCCCCTGCACTATTCACTGAGTCTCCCCTGCACTATTCACTCAGTCTCCCCTACACTATTCACTCAGTCTCCCCTGCACTATTCACTCAGTCTCCCCTGCACTATTCACTCAGTCTCCCCTTCACTATTCACTCAGTCTTAAAGGGCCTAGGCAACCTTTAGCTCGTCATGCATCAATTTACCACCAAGGGATGCAGAACAAACCAAACTGTCTGCCTAGAAACAGCAATTTCCCAACATACCTGTATTCCCTGGAGAAAATATCCAACAATATTAACTACCTGGGACTTCTGAAGCAATGTTTGCCACTCAACATGAAGCATTCTTGTCTCTGCCTTTCACAGCATGTTTTGTGAGTAGTCAGTTATAACATAACATGTGTGAACAGCAGGTCCTCAAACCACTGGAAGGTTGCAGTGACTGTTTCCACCTCCATTCTCAAACTAGATGTTGTCCATCTGCAGAAAAATCTCCAGGGAATGAAGGAGTCAAATGTCTTAAAAAGAACAAACACATTAGCTAGTTATAAAACATTGTATTCATAAATAAAAAATGAAATAATACAACAATATTATGCATACTTGCATGCTCACAGCAATATGATTTGAAACACAGACTGCTACATCTGATAATTAATACATTCCAACTGACAGAAATACAAATAAGGACATTCTATTTAGTGGGATTTGTTTGGAAAACAGAGGCTCAAAGCATAGGTGCTATCAGCATCATCATCAAATGCCTTGACGACTGGTGTGCACAATCATGCCTCTCTATCTTACAGTTGATATCCAGTTCTATTTCTAAAGGCGGGACATATGAAGGAACCTTCTGGGCTGGTCTATTCAGAAGTATTTCAAAATATTCAGCCCATCTGTCCATTTGATCTTTAGTGTTGGTGAGTACCTTTCCTTGACTATTTTTGATTGAGCCAGTAGGCTGACTATTTTTACCTACTTCTTTTTCTTCATGTTCACCAGCTGTAAACTCTGGCGGAAAGTTCTGGTCATTCACCCACTTTCGGACTGCAGTCCTGTTCCAGAACCTGAGTGTTGCGTGTGCATCCGTTTTTTTTGGATCTGACTCATTTGTATGCAGACTGCTGGTTCCTTGCCTCTCAGGCAGAGGCACTCCGACTTTGAAGGAAGCTCCCAATTAGTCGACTATTATGACTTTGCAGTTGGGTAGGCAGAGGCTCTATTCTTGTTTTCCCTGTAATAGAGCCCCGGAACCCATACAGGGAGTTTAACTACTAATTTTCTTGTGTTACTGTCAAGTTCTCGGAGATTTCCTTTTGCTGATGCTGTCTTCACTTCTGGTGCTAGGTCATCTAAACATTTCCTTTTATCTGAACTTATTCACGTCCCAACTTCCTTATTAGCTTCTGCATATTTACCCTGAGATCTAGCTTTAGCAGCTCTAGTTTTGCTATTCTTTAAAGTCTGCCTTTTTTACTTTTCCTTTCTTTGATCATTTTAATCATTTCTGACCCTATTCATGCTTTATGTTTCTGTTCTTTCTTACCAAGGATTTCTACACAAGACTGATTCTAAATTCCCTTGATCTTGTCCCAGCAGACTTCAGTGCTTACTTCTTCAGCTAACTGCTGCAACAGCTGGTACTTATTAGAGACTGAAACTGAAAATTGTACCTTAACTTCTTTATCCAATTACAAGTATATTAGGAAACAGTAAAGGATATTTTTCAGAGCTGACAGACAGGCAAAGAAAGGAGCAACACAAGAACAACCACCTACAGCAAAAAAAATTATAAAAGCTATAAACAAAGAGACTTGACTGAACAGATGGGCCAAGGGAGATACTGGAAGAGAGGTTTATAGACATATGGCTAGCCCTGATCCTAATGACAGCATTAACCATTTAACAAGAAGGGACCAGGCCACCATCTTCAGAACACAACATACTCCACTCAATGGACACCTAAACAGAATACAGCCACAACACTCCCTAGAGTGCCAGCTATGTAACTACCCCTACGAAACTGTTGACCATCATCTCTTTGAGTGCCCAAAACTCAACGAGACTAGAAGAACGCTACTCCCTCCGAGACCAGACAGGTGGAACACCTTGTACGGAGGAAAAGAACAGCTTGTGAAAACATGTCAATTCCACTACAAGGCATTGGGCCAAAGGGCGAAGCTCATGCGTCACTGAATCAAAAACAACAACAACATAGTAAGAAAAGGTAAAGGATATTTTCAAGCTATTGGCCAGTTAAGCATGTCGTGTTACAGCCATATTTTTACAGACCAATCTTATATGATGGCTGATATAAACAACTCACCAGGCGCCTTCACTTCCCAGGACTTTACCAGGTGTCCATTTTAGGTTGGGTCGACTTGGGAGCCAGGGTTATTTTTTAAATAAATCTCATTTGGTTTGGATTTAAACCCAAGACCTTCAGGCTGGCATGTGAGCATCAATACAACTATGGTCCACATAAATTAACGGCCTGTACTGGTACAGAGGTTGGCTTCTGTGGCGTAGGCGTTACCAGCGTGCTTCAGAATGCTGTGATACCCAGTTTGATTCCAAATGCAGATGATATGGCAGGCAAATCGCCTTGCTTTGATTGTGACAATGGTATGGGGCACAGAGCATTCAGAAAGCAATGACAAACTACTGAATGTAAGAGTGCCTAGCTACACAGCTCCAAAAAATGCTGCTGTGTGTTCCACCATGTCTTGTAAAGGATAACACCACAAATGGTATGAGACATGAATTAAAAATGCATGTATGTACAGATTTTCCACACTCATTTAACTACAAAAGTGTGACAGCCTCACAACAAAGACTACATGCTGACTAATATACACAGCTGACAGGGTACTTTACACACACAACACAAATCACTGGTGCTGTCTACTCCCCCAAACTGGCAGGAGAAGTTAGATACAAACATTATTCTCTCAAATTCCCCATGTGGGTTTGGAGGCCAAGGTGAGGAAAAAAAAGGGGGGGGGGGGGGGATTCCTAAGCATGTCATAAAAGCTGACAAATTAAGGGGTTGCTGAAATCAGACTTTAGGCCAAAAAGCGTAGATATCGCAACCTGGCTGTAAACCACAAAGCACCAACCACCCCTTCAAGGGTGAACGAAAAAGAAATAGTCATTCTATACAGACACTTTTCCACTACTAAGGACAAGACACAGCTAAAGATCTACATGAACATTCAGACACAGCCACAGTACCAGCCTGACACTTGTGACTTATATGAGAGCGTTTCAGATAAAAATCTTTGAAAGTGTAACAGAAATTACAGGACCAAGCAATGTTGTTGAGGATGTCAAGAGTGTTAAGCACATGACATCATGGTGCAGGTGAACATGGTCGTGTCATAATGATGGTTAAAAGACGGCCACCCTACTTCTGACATGGACCAAAAAGAGATCAGTATTCTGTTATCTGTTTAAAAAAAAAAATCAAAACAGCTCCTACTTGGTGCATGTCAAAAGTAGGGTGGCCATCTTTACACTGTCATTATGACATCACCATGTTCATCTGCGCCGTGATGTCACGTGCCTGACACTCTTGATATTCCTAACAACAATAATGACACATTATACAAGATAACGGTATGGTCATCATTATAACTTCTGCTACACTTTTAAGATGTTCATTTAAACTGTGTGCCTAAGTTTGAACAACAGATCAACCGATAAGAGCTCTGTTCTTCTTAAACTTAAACCCGAGTCAGAAGAATCTCAGCACAGTGCACAGGCTCTGTAGCACCAGCGAGGATCCTGAACTACTTTGGGTAGATTTTAAACTGCAAATTTTGCCCTGGCAGGGATGTTAGGCTACTCTTTTTTATTTCCGACTGCCAAGGGATTTTTTACTTGCTCAACATTGCACACGGGCGTCCGATCTCACTACCCAGAGACCAGGGGGAATTACTAGAAGTCCAAGTCCACGTGAAGAAATCCCAGCCCTTACCGAGGACTGAACCCGGAACCTCTCGCACTCGAGGCGGACACCATGCCTCGAGTCCAAGCAGCCCCCATTGTGTGCTAAAACAGTTATTAAACATATATTAAATATGACATATAAATGCAAAAGGGGGGGGGGGGGGGAATATTTTGAAGAAAAACAAAAATGCAGAGGAAGACTGGCTGGACTGAGTTAATTTACAAAAAGTAAAACAAGACAGCTGCTGTAGCTGGACTAGAATACAAGATACAGTGAGGAACCAACAATGTCAACAGAATAAGGCAGCAAAGAAGGTAAATCATTCCATTAGGACCCTTTTATCACCAATGGCGCTGTGAGCAAATGATGCTTAGGTCATGTTTTCAGACCTGCTGACACTGAGTGCATGATGTGGTTAATATCCTGTCTGTTGCCTTTACTTTCCAGAACAATACCTCGTACCAATTTTAGGCTATATCCGGTGTGAGCCAGCGTCACTTTAGAAATTAATCATCTAAAACAATCTGTAACGTTGCCCATTTGAACTCAAGACCTTTGGTTTTACAGGGGAGGGAGAAGATGTCCAAAATATGGAGCAAATAAATAATAATACTGTTCTATCCAGCATAGCAAAGATTTTTTTTTTTTTTAAATGAAGCTGCAATAACATAAATATTTTTTCCTCCAATGTTTGGCGTCTGCTTGTAAAAGGGCAGCTGGAACACTGTGTTGTGGCTTACAGCAGTATATGACTGGGAAGCCCAACAAAAAAGGAAACAACTGGAAGAACATTAAGTGAATGTCAGCCTTACAGAATCAATAACTTTAAACAAAGGACTCTGCAGCAATGAGTCTTCATCAGCAGGACAATGATAACAAACAATGTCACCTGATGTTAACAAAGGAAAAGCTATGACACACCGAGTTACAAGTGAACAGCTGCACTGAAGTCTTTATCAACAAGCAAAATGAATTAATACAACTGTACAGAACCTTAATCCACATGACGAACAAATACTCTCTAAGTGGAGGAAGCATAAATGAAAAAAAAAAAAGGGGGCGGCGAAGAAATGGCAAGACACAAATAACTCAGCTGAATGTTTTTGTTCACTGAAAGATCTCCGTGAGGGGTCACTCACTGGAGGTCTCCATGGCAAAGTGGTCAAACCATTTGCCCCCTGTTCTGAAAGTCGTGGGTTCATCTTTACG